TTCCCCGCCCACTATGTCACATGCACGCCTGCGCCATCCCGCGAGCGACATGCTTTTTGTAGCCAACTGTAGCTTCCGGGCGGCCTCCTGGTCCGAGTCGCTTTGCTCGCTCGCCTGGAGGCTACAGTAGCACGAGTCCATCGCAATGTCCCGAGCGTTAGCCTGGGGGAAAGGGGTTTCTTGTTCCAAGGAACCGAAATCGCTCATCCTCATCCTGGCAGTGTGCCCTGATGGTCGATGCCCCGTTGCTTCAGGTCTTTGCGGGTCTGGAGGGGGTTCTGTGTTCGATGACGAGGAGACCAGCTACTAAGTACGCGTGTTGCAGGGTAGCACGAGTACCACGGGAGATGCCGTAACTTTTTTCGCTTGCCGGCCGGCGGTCAAAATGCAGTGCAATCCCATGATACGTCTAGTAAGAAGCCTAAATCGATCCCGTGAGAGTCGGCTTATAGCTACGGTTTGCCCTTGTGTGGCCAGAACGTATGGAAGAAGGCAGCGAGAAGTGAGCCGCACACCCTGACGCGCCACTCTACTAGTTATAGCCACTGTCATGCCTCTGCCGGTGACGCTCTGCACCTCGTCGCCCGTACGAAATACATGGTCGTATGCTGCAGTTGGGCAGGGAGGTGTGAGTGTTTTGCGGCCACATTTCGTCCGTTCTAGACAGTCAATTGATATATCGTTATGGCGTGAGGGTGCAAGTAGATCGTTTGGTGTATGAATCACGATATGGTTTTTGGCCAGTTCTTCAGAATATTGACCTACACGAGTTAACAACATCAGTTGATACCAGTGAGCACATGGTCACTCATCTGTACATGGTTGTAGACATAACTCTTATAAACATGAAGCTCCTTCTTCAAGTAGGGGGGAAAAGAAACCGACACTATCCATCTTCCACACGTTGCAGTCGACATCTGTTAGGATACACCCAATGTCATAGCTCGATGGTGTCTTCACGGAGCGTACCTGTGTGTTCCTATGCCATGTCGGCTTTGCTGGATATCTTGCTAGACACCAAAACTCACAGCACAGTGATGTGTCGAAGGAGCGTACAGGCAGAATGCGCCAGCCAAAGACCAGGGCAAGCCGCAAGCCAAGCTCAGTAAACCTCGCAGCAAAATCCATTCGCCGACTCGATAGCAAAAAATCTACAACCCCCAAATCTTTTCAACGTTCTCAAGATACCCTGCCACTCGACAAGGGGTAAGCCGGCACACATCAGCAAACAGCGTCAGGGCGCGCGGCAGCTTGGTAATATAATCATGCTCCCATTGGTATCTGCCGTTTTCAGCAACTGTGTAGAAACAGGGGGACGCGGACATGGTCCCCCAACGCCTCGCTATGCGCCAATGACTTCCACGACCCAAGCGCCGTGCCATCAAAAGACCAAAAAAAAAGCAAATTCCAACTTCTCGGCATTGCTTTCTCTGCCCCTGTCATCCCCTGAGCGAACGATCCCTCACATTGCAGTCCCCATTCTCCCCTCTTCTCGCACGTCACACGTCCGAAGCAGGCCCGCCATCCGGCGGCGTCTCTACGATCCTCAGCTTGGCATGGCGTCTCGGCGGCGGCGCCTTGGGCGGCGTCTTCTTGCCGGTGCCGATGCCTGCAAACGGCAAGCCGTGCCTGTGCCGCGGCACCTCGGGCCGTATCCTCTTGGCTGCCGCCGTGCCCGCCGCCGCCGCCGCCTCGCCGCCAGCCTCGGCCCGGCGACTCGGCGTCTGCACGCCCGGCTTCTCCATGACGGCCGCGACGTCGACGACGCTGATGCTGCTGGCAGTCTGCGACGGTGAGAGGCTGATGCCGAGGAACTTGCGCGCCACCTCTGCCTCGCCGGATGCCGCTGCGGCAGCGTCTTCGTCCGGCGCAGCGAGCCACTTGACTTTGGACACGCGCTCGACGAGGCGCACAGTTGTCTCGTCGGCGGGGGCGAAGTGCGAGTTGCCAAAGCCGCCGAGGATGCGCAGGACCTTGTGGACCTCGTCGCGCTTGTAGTGCGGCGGGTGGCTCAGCTGCGTGTGGGCGAGCAGCGGGTAGAGGACGCGCAGGTACGTGTGGCGCAACGAGGCCTTCTCGTCCGGGAGGTCCATGAGGTTGCGGATGATGACGTCGAGAAGGACCTTGAGGTCGTTGGTGTAGAAGTACTCGTGCGTCGCTTTCGTCGTGAAGAGGAGGTACAACAGCTTGAGAATGAGGAGCTGCTGGCTCGTTTCCGTCTCGCGGTTCAGCAGCAGGATGATGTTCTCGCCAAAGGTCCGAAAGCTATCGCCGTGGAGGCTCAGACACTTGATGACTCTGTTTGTCAGAGGGGCCGAGGGCGCGAGAGGGTCGGTGCCGATGTTGGTCGAGGAGAGCATGTACTGTTCGTTGAGCACGAGCTGCGAGGGTCAGCTGGGATCGTGGGAAAGACATGATGCGAGGAAAGGCAGCATATCGGGGGCATGGAGAGGCATATAGACAGGCCGGAAGGGGACGTACGAGGACACGAATGATCGGATAGTGGTACGGGTCGTGAACATCGTTGGACAGCTCCTCGATGATCTGAAACAGATAGTTGATGAACCCGTCATCAATCTGCAAGAGATCCTCGGTGCGCAGGCGCTCAATGCGCGACATCTCGTACATGAGCTCCAGCAAGAGGCGATGCAGCCTGGGATCGCGGTCCTTGCGGCCGTTGATGAGCTCGAGCAGGCGCGGGAAGCAGGCCTCCTCGACCATACGCGTAAAGGTGGCCTCGTCGGCGCGGCCGTCGAGCAGCAGAAAGCAGGTGATGAGGTAGAGGCTGTTGGGCTCGTCCTCCTGCAGCAGGCTGAAGATGATCTGGGTGCGCACGTAGTCCCTGTTGTCGACGAAGAGCTGGCTCGCGAGCAGCTTCTGGGCGCAGGCGGCAATGTCGTCCTCGGCGTCGCAAAACTTGTCGCGGAACATGGAGGCGAGGTAGAGCCAGGAGCGCAGCGTCTCGTCTATCAGGTCGTGGGACTGGTATTGGGTGCCGACCACATCGTCGAGTTCTGTCGACGTCAGTCAGTCGGCGGACGCAACACTCCTGGCGCAGAGAAGGGCAACGAGGAAGCAGAGAGGGAACACGAGAGAGACGTACCTTCGAAGAATTCCTGCTCCGTCTCGAGGGATTGGTACACATCGTAGTCAGCCATGGTTGCCCGCAACTGAAGAAGAACAATGACCAGCGGTATATGGTGTGTATCTCTCACATCACTGTCGTCGGGCCGCGGGGTATGAGGTGAACAGGTGTGGTCTGTCGGAGGGCTGGTTTGTTGGAGCAGTAGTAGCAGCAGTAGCAGCAGCAGCAGCAGGCATTGGGAGAAGGCGAGAGAGGCTGGAGTGGTGGGCAGCGGAGCGGGGTGGGGTGGATCCAACGCCTGGACGCTACCAACCTTACGTCAAAGCTACAGGGAAGGCTGTAGAGACTCTCTCTAGGCGGCGTTTCCAGCGACGTCCTCCCGGATATGGTAAACACCGTTCCCAACAGGCCCATACCGATGGCGTCCTTCCGACAGCCGGCTGCATCGACCAAGACGCCGACAAGACGGCCGGCTCGCGATCATTTCGACTCAGTGCACAATAAGTTCATCCGTCTGACTCGTATCTATCATCTATGGGAATCATCGCAAACGCACGTCATGCAGTGCACCAACCGTCATCGTCATCCTCCCCGTTGGCCCCGACATGGCTGCCACCCGCCAAACGCCCAGAAGCAGAAACAAGAAGCACAACACCGCCAGCGCAGCCCGTCGAGCCTCGCCACGAAAAGAAAGAAATACGCTCGCCTAGTCACGCTCTTCGCCTTCCTCGTACACCTTGACCTGGTCGGCATACTTGTGGATGTCGCTGACGACGTAATCGGTAATGGTGTGGCCCTTGCCGGCGGCGACCCGCAGGATGAGCTCGTTGAGGTTCTGGCGGCCGAGAATGTCGACGTGGTCCGCCGTCTTGGGCCCGCCCCTGGGACTGAAGCGGTCGGGCTCGTGCGGCATCTCGACGACGGTGATCTTGGCGCCCGCCGGGTTGTACCGCTTGAGGTCCCAGCCGCGATTGCACATGTACCCCGTGCTGAGCAGGTTGACCGTTCCGTCGCCCTCGCCCATGACGACGCCGTGGTCGACCTCGCCCTCGATCAGCGCCGTGTCAATGGTGATGTTGAGGTTCGTCATCGACGGCATCTCCGGCGACCTGTAGTAGTAGCCGCGCTCCGTGGGCTTGCCCACGCCGTAGAAGCAGTAGATTTTGAGGTTGGGCGCCAGCGGCAGCCTCGTCTCGAGCGGGTTGATCCATTTTCGGGGGTCCTTCTCGTTCGCCTCGACTTCGGCCTCCGTGTGGGCCACGCCGTGAGAGTAGCTCTCCCTGACGAGGTCCTGGTACCATGTCTCTGTGGTGTTCCAGAGGTACTGCAGCGAATCGTCGACCGTCAGGTTCTTCTCCGGCGTCGTCCAGTTCAGGCCCTCCCTGAAGTTGAGCACCGTACCAAACGTGTGGTTCTGCCCCGGCAGGTCGTCAGGCGCCCACGTACCGTTGCCCCAGACGGCGTTGCCGCCGAGCGGAAGCATCGATGATATTCCAGGCATCGCTCGGAAAAGCTCGGCCCTCTCGTCCTTGCTGAGGAACTTCTCGAGACCGTAGACGGCAAAGGCATTGAGCTGCGCCGTGTCTCGCATCTCACCCGACAGCACGGCCGTCAGGTCCTTGACGGCACCTAGCATGCACCCGCTGACGTTGATCCAGGACTCGACGTAGCGGTCGACCCAGTCGTCGCCGCCACGGCCGCCCAGGTCAGAGGCCACCCAGTGAAAGAAGTAGAAGACAACCTGCCCGCCCATGCTGTGCGACACGAGGACGGCTTTCTTGCCGCCGGATGCTTCAAAGGCCGTCTCAATGTGGTTCTTGAGGCGCGTGAAGTACTGGTCTCGGATCTCGAGGTGCGGGTATGCCAGCCGCCAGTCGTACGCAGCAGTGAACGAGTTGGATGGGTCGTAGCCGATGGAGGCAAGGTTCTCAAAAATCTTGTTCCAGATCCAGTAGCCCGTGATGAAGAAGTCGGTCGCATCAAACCCCTGCGCCGCTCGTAACTTGATGTTCGGGGGATCGAGACCCGTCTGCTTGTCGAGCATGATGTGCCTCTTCCAGTTGTCCTTGTCCATGACGAGAGCGCGCATCATGCTCCAGCTGCCCCAGAGACGCTTGCGAAAGTATGGCCGGGAGACGTTGGCGGTGCCCCAGGACTCGAGTCCCGTCGAGATGACGCCGGGCACCATGATCATGGGATGGTGGGCTGAGAGGCCTTCGGACCGCGCCTGTAGGCCGACGGCAAAGGCATCGTAGCTGTCGACGAAATCGCGTTCTCCTTTCTGTCGGCCGTATCGTCAACACGAGGGCCCTCTTTGACTTGCCGTGTCGAAAAATGCAGTGTATCGAAGAGTGAGGGAAAAAGGCAAACATACCACGAGGTCGCGCATATCGGCGACGAGGCCGGCGGGCAGGGCATCGAAAAGGCTGTCGACGCTGAACTCGCCGAGCTCAGGAAAGTCGATGAGGTCGTTGCTCTTCGCGAAGAAGCCGGCGGCGACGAGGCCGAAGAGACTGCCGAGGAGGAAAATGGCGGTGGAGCGTCGTTTCCTCGTCTTCGGTTCGTCGATATGCTCGACGATATGGACGTGTTCAACGGTCGTGTGGTTGTCCTCTTGACCAGCGGCCGGCGGTGTGGGTGGTGCCTCGCTTTCGGATGGATTGCTGAGGGCACTGTCGGAGGGTTGACTCGGCGGCATGCGCCGCCTGAGTTCCGAGGGTTGGGGCTGTCGCGGCATGGCGGCGCCGGGTGTCGTTCCTGGGACAGCCGGGTGTGTAAATGGCGCTGAGGCTGCCGGCTTGGTGTTGAAGAAAGTCTCGTGAGCCGCAGCTGGGACCTGTCGGAGACGGCGGGATACCTTGGATGGCCCATGCACGTGGTATCACATGGAACGGGAAAAAGTCGAGGCGCGCGCTAGCTGCTGCCGGTACTTCTGGCTACGATGGCCCAGAGTACAGAGCTCCCGGGCAGTGGATTCCCTGTCGCGAGATGCTGCAAGGGATTGCTCGAGGTCCCCCTGTTGCACCTGGGGTCTGTGTTGTGGTGTTCCTCCTCGTGGCGGAGGGGACTCGACCGTCGCTCTTGAAAAAAGGAGCTGTCACGCTTCGAAGACAGTGACGTCAACAGGGTGGCGGCCGAGAGCTACACCTCCGAGCTGTCAACAGACATTGATCGGATATATTCGTCCGAGTTCTGCATGGTTGGTGTTTGTCTTGTCTTCTATCCTGTGCAGCCGATGCTACTTAGGTGATCCTTAGGTACCGTACGGAGATGTGCCTTGGTGTCCATGACCAGGCGCTTTGCAGATCTCGCAAGCGGCGTCGAGCTTCACTGCTGGTGCTGTCAAGTCGAGGTGGGACTGAGCCAACCCCACTCTGCCCTCTCTAGGGGGGCCCTGGGCCGCTGCCAGGGAGTGGAGGGGCTTTCGCGTAGCTGTAATTCAGTCCAACCTCACCCGTCATGTTCCGTCAGCCGCCCAGCCTCAACCCTCGAAATACATTGACGTTGTACTATCGACTGCATGTGATCGCCCGTTGAAAACGCAAACAGGGCTGTATCTCCCTCCTTTTGGTTGGCGCAACGCATCTGCATAGTCGCCTCCGAAAACCCGCCTTCGCATTGGATCCAGGACAGCAACGTAGGGCCAGCACCGGCCGGACCTTCTTTCCAACTCGGGCAGTCGGCTGCAACTCATTTAGAAGCCCCCGCCTTGGACCCTGGATGTGGTTTTCTGAACGCCATTCCTACCGTCGACCTCAACCTCCTTCTGTGCACATCCCGTCCTGGCTGGGTCATTGCGTAGACGACCGGGTGATCTGGTCTCCAAGGCGCCAAGCCCACACACCACGCCCATCCATCACAAAACCCTCCGCCCGGTGCGACGATGGCGGAGCTCACAGATGAGCTCAACTACATTCAGTATGACCACAGCCTCGAGAGCAGATACCTCCCCGCCATACGCTCTCTCATCGCCAAAGACCTGAGCGAGCCCTACAGCATATATGTCTATCGCTACTTTCTGTGCCAGTGGGGCCACTTGTGTTTCATGGTACGTCACGCCACCTTGGACAAGACGGCGGCGGGCAGTTGACTGACGACTCTCGCAGGTCCTCGACCCCTCTGACGCGTCCCTTGTCGGTGTCATCATCTGCAAGCTCGAGGTGCACTCGTCCCACTCTCCTCCCACACGCCGCGGCTACATCGCCATGCTCGCCGTAGCGTCAAGTCATCGCGGAAAAGGCATAGCGACGGCCCTCGTCAAGAAGGCTATCGACGCCATGGCCACGAGGAGCGCAGATGAGATCGTGCTCGAGACGGAAGAGACCAACATACCCGCGGTGCGCCTCTACGAGCGTCTCGGCTTTCTGCGCTCCAAGAAGCTTCACCGCTACTATCTAAACGGCAACAGCGCCTACCGCCTCGTTTTACTTCTTAAATCTATCGATCCGGATGCACACATGGAGGAATCGGACGAATTATACTCTTGATTTTGCTTCATTTTACATTGTTTATATCATTTGAGGTCACCAGTCTTCTGCTGCTGCTGGAGCGAGTTTCACGGGGTGCTGCTCTTGCGCCGGGCATGGGGTTTATGGTGTTGGGATGCATATTAGGAAGGCCTGCGGCATGGTCATCAAAAGCAAATTCTGTCTTTCATCGGCGCTCCCATTTCCCGCTTTCTCGCCGTGAAATGTCAGATTTCCACCAGCAAATGGCAGCCCTTCCAGACTCACGTGGCACAGTCGAGACTCCCGTCCCACCCTGTCATCGTGCTTCTCAAATCTGCGCCGTTACCTCGTTTGAATTGTAGATTGACGCCTTGAGACCCCAGCTGTTTCCTCCTGCAATGCCAATGTAGGTAAAAGCATCTGGATTCTCGCTGTCAGCTTTCGTCGTCAGGTTTGGGGGCTCCGCCCACGAACCTGGCTTGTAGTATATCGCCTTTTTCATCGTCTCGACGACTCCCAGGTCCTGCAGCCCTCGCAGAACCCTGGTGACATCAGCCATGTCCCGAAAGTCGGCCGTGTAGACGCAGATGAGCCGCTCTTTACGGCCCGTATCGTCGGATCTCGGCGCGACCTTTGCAGCGATCCCCAGCTCATTGTTGGCAGTAGCTTTAGCAACCAGACCCCAAACTTCGTTGACCACCTCTGGATCGCAAAAGAGCATCCACTAGGGTCGAGTCAGCCTCGTGCTCAGCTCACTGATCATGCATGGAGGCGTTGTGTCCTACCTTGCCAGACCGCACACGGCAAGCATGTGCCAGCTTCAAGACATCTTCCACAGCCGCCTTCCTTTCCTTGTTAGCTTCCCTCGTCTTGACTGTCTTCGTTTTTGCCGTCAATTCCAGTCCTCCTAGAAAGCTTGTGAGGATATGCAGCCTTTCAGTGCCTCCTTCCACAGCCCTGGCCAGCTGCGTCCCCTCCTCCTCCGGCGCCTCATCCTCATTGCCCCTGCTGCTCCGGCTCTGCGCATCCGGCCTCGCCTTACGAGAGATGTAAGGATTGCAAACAAAGATCCAGGGCACCTCACCTGAGGCTTCCGTTGTCGCCGGGGGCAGGCGCGAGAGGAAGTCGTCAATCGTCTCGGTCAGCTGCCAGGCGTAGGGAACGCCGGCGTAGGGGTTGTGCAGCTTGGATGCGGTCTTCAACTTCTTCCTGGCCGGCATGGGGCTGAGGCGGGCTCGGTCCTGGTGAGCCTGATGCCACTCGTGGACGTCGAAGTCGTCGACGCGAGCCTGGAGCTCGGCTACGATGTCATCGTCACCTGGCAGTGTCAGCTTCGCGGTTCTGGAATCATGTAGAGGACGCAGTGATACCGTAAAAATCCGACTCTGAGTCGTAAAGAATCTGCGGTGCCATTTAGGTTGTCGAGATCCTGAAAGTGTTCGGGGTCAGTGTCAAGCTCAGGATCAGAGCACCAAGTTACGCGTTGGACGGGTTGTTTTGCAAGTGTTGATACGACAGACAAATCTCGTGGCGCGTGATACGTGCCGCTGAAAACAAAGAGAGAGTATCGCGTGGAAAAGAGATGCAGGTGAAGGCTATTCGACAAGTTTATTCAGAGTGACGAGAAAGCAAGTCTTGTAGAGGAGGCAGGTGGTAGGTGGGCAGGTACTTGCCGTGGTCCCGCCACTAGATCCCTCCCTATGACACTCATGACGTTGAGCAGGGGTATTGCTTTTCAGCAAATCGACCCATGTACTTCCTATGGGCATTTGCTTTTTGGTCCAACCCCTCCATGCGATTGATTGTTAACTGGAACGAGTTGGGTTTGCGGCATGGCGCAGGTGCTTGTCGAATTGGGACGATTCGATACTGGTGGCGGGCCGGCCCGCACATTTTAGAATCAAGGAGATGGTAGTGTCAATTCAAAGGCGAGCATGAATAAACCTCATCCTCCACAGTTCCAACTCACGCATAACCCATTTCATACAGTCCAGCACAGGCGGCTGGGACACTCTACAGAATGAGTGACGAAGGCCAGACAATCGCTTCAACCCAAAGTATCGTGCTGGATTTGCCGCCGAGCTGTGTCGAGTTTTCCCAAACGCACCCCTCCTACTTCGTTGTCGGAACCTATAACTTGCAGAAGGACGACAAGGTGGAAACAAAGCCCGATGCCTCCGGAGACGACGAGAGTTCTTTCGAGCACGGAGAGGTGACCGCGGCAAAGAAGACGCAGAATCGCAATGGCACCCTCGTCGTGTTCAAGCTCGTGGATGCAACGATGTAAGACTCTCCCTCGAGCTCCTGTCATCCTACATGCTGCTGACACCGGGCAAAGGCATCATGTCCAGGTAGTCTCACAGCCATCTGCGATCCTAGACCTTCACTTCTGCCCCATCGTTGGCAAGCAAGACATTCTAGCAGTGGCATCCAGCACAGGCACGCTCGCTATTATGCGACTGGACCCAACATCTGACGAGTCCTCGCCGCTGAAGCACATCGCGACGAGCACATTCCCTGATACCCCTGACGGTGTCCTTTTCCTGTCTCTCGCCTGGCACCCGTCAGACCCCAAGGTCCTTGCTGTCACGACCTCATCGAATGACGTCTGTCTTGTGCGTCTTGACGATGACTGGAAAATAATTCAGGATGACCCGTACCCTGTCCTTACCCACTCACTCGAAGCCTGGACTGTCGCGTTCACCCCGCCTACAGCTTCCAACGAGGATGGACGAACAGAGGACGACCTCACGGTGTACTCGGGAGGTGATGATTCCGCCCTTCGATACGTCGCCTTGGGCGCCACGGGACTAAGCGAAGAGAGCCGATTCGGCCTCCTATTCCCGCCCCTCAAGCTGGATGCGCACGATGCAGGTGTGACGGCCATCCTGCCGACGTCTTGCCATCTTCACGATGGGTCCAGGATCGTGCTCACGGGAAGCTACGACGACACGTTCCGCATTCTCGCGGTTCACTCGCCTCGCAAGACCTACGGAGCTCGCAAGTACAGCCGCGTTGCCGAAGAATATCTGGGAGGCGGTGTGTGGAGGCTGAAGCTGATGCAAGCGCGCCAGGAGGAAGACGAATGGCACGCTACGGTCCTGGCTTCATGTATGCATGCAGGAGCGAGGGTGCTGGAGGTAAGAGGCTCTCTGGATGGTCAGAATTGGGATATCAAGGTGCTTTGTCGGTTTGAGGAGCACAAGAGCATGAACTACGGCAGTGATTTCGTGCCAGGGACTGGTGTCAGCTCACAGCCACTGGTCTGCGTGTCTACAAGCTTCTACGATAAATTGCTGTGTTTGTGGAGATTTGAGACAAGCTGAGATGTTTCGTGAGGGTAGAAGATAACAACTCTGCAACGAATTCACTGTTCTGATGCGTCTTGTTGATTTTGCGTCCCTATACTACAACCCTACCTACTGTACCTACGTACTCGGCTAGGGACTGGCCAGTGACAGATCTTATCAGCGCCCTGCCGCCTGGAGCAGTACTGTACTTTACAGTGTCCCCACTGGGCTGGGTACCTTCGGTCATGGCCGCGTCAAGGGAGGGTTTACCTCACAGACCCAGGCCCCGGGACTGTCAGGCCCGGGCGTCAGGTTTCTGGCATCCATGCATGTGCGCCCACTTCCATATTCAGGTCGGGTCCGAGTGCCTTTCAGTTCGTGGCTAAGGACCTTACCGTACATTACCTCACCTCCCTGGAAGCTCGGTCTGCCTGCCTGGGTCCAGATCCCTGGGGCGAATTATTTGCTTGACACTTCACGCTTCACGCTTCACGCTTCACCTCTCACCTGATCTGTTCACTGCCTTCTCCCAGCTTCGATCTGATCTTCTCTACAGCTTGTTCGCAGTATACGCCCTTTCTGTGTGCTGCAGTTCGCGCTGCCTAACATATCTTAACCCAAAGACCCCCACCATTTTTGTTGTCTCCCGGCCCAAATCTCGACCCCTAGTCAGCTCACTGCCGTTGTTCTCCAAATCCAACAACAAACACTAGACTCATCCCCCGCCCTTCCCCTCCCTACAGCAACCCGACCCCCGAACCGCATGCGATCGATCTGATATCTTCGAGGAGGCATCATCACGTTCGACCCAGAGCTCCCGATCGAGGGTCGTCTTGCTCCGTCTATCATGGCCTCGGCGCATTCCAATGGCGCTGCCGGCATCGGCTCGTCAAACGGCGGGGAGGTCGATATCCTCTCCCAGATTCACCAGGCCCTCGAGGTCGTACACGCCCCCTACTCAGCCAACGAAGCTCGGAGGGAGGCGCAAGAGTTCCTCGAAAACGTCAAGGCCGTCGACGAAGCCCCCTTCCACGGCTACACCCTGGCCTCGAACAAGTCGCAGCCCGCCGTGGTCCGACACTATGCGCTCTCGCTTCTCGATAATGCCATCAAGCACAAGTGGGCCGACTACACCACCGAACAGGCCTCGACCCTCAGGGGGTGGATGCTGGAGCTGTGTCAGGGCATCTCGCAAGCCGATCCGTTGTACATCAGAAACAAGACGGCCCAGCTCTGGGTAGAGGTGGCAAAAAGGTCGTGGGGCACCGAGTGGATGGACATGGACGAGCTGCTGGTTCAGCTTTGGCAGGTGCCCGACTCGGCCGTACACAAGGAGCTCGTCATGACGGTTCTCGAGACGCTGGGCTACGAGACCTTCTTTGGCGATGACGTCGTGGTGGCTATGAGGCAGGGGGTCCTTTGCAAAGGTTGGACAGAAATCACCACGCCCACCGCTGTGCTGGCCGAGGCGATCAAGAACCGCAACCCAGCCCCCGAGGTGCGGTACGGTGACGAGGGTTGGCTGGTGCGGTTGGTGCTCTGCTCGAGCAATGTCTCAACGGCGACATCAACGGCAACAGCGAAGTGCGTTCCTGCGCCGTGAAGGCGCTCTCCGTCCTCAGCACGTTAATGCCGTGCACGATCCCCAAGGGCACGGCAGCCTCGAAAGTCGTCCCCGTCGCCTCCAGAGCGCTCGCTGCTTCCCAAGTGTCTGTCCAAAAGGTATGGCACCTCAGGTCTTGGTGGCCAGGCGCTGCTGCCATCTTGGGGGGAGCTTTGCTAATATATTGGTGCAGGGAGCTCTGGAGGTCTTGCATGCCCTTTATTCACGCGATGACTTTTACGATGAGGAGTTTGCAGAGCTGGTGGCGCCCATGTACGAGCAGGCGTCGGTCGGACTGCTCAAGGAGCTCTTCAACTGGTCGGTGGTCGACGCCGAAGATATCGACGACGACAAATACCAGTTCGCTAAGAAATTCTCCGAGGTTCGTGTGACAGCAGATATCGATGGAGAATTCCTTACTGACTCTTCCAGATGCTGTCCTTACTTGGAAATTATCTTGATCGCAAATTCTCCGTCGTCCCCACGGGATCAGATATCGATGGTTTCCTGAATCTTCTCGTTGTTGTAGCGCAAAGCCAGAGCCTCATTGTGTCCATCCCTGTGCTTGTAACGTGGACCCGTCTCCTCAACAACAGGTTAATCGGGCAAAGCTCTGCCAACTCACAGCTCATTGGGCCTCTGCTTGAACTGTGCGGTTCGAGGCTCATCAGATACGAGAACCTGCCCGAAGACACGCAAGATGCCACCTATCTGTTCCTCATGGAGGACACAGACACTATGCCCGAGAGGCATGCTTTCCTAGGCAACTACCGTCGCTACAGTATGCAAGTCATTGAGGCAATTGTCCAGCTGAAGCCGTCCGACGCCATCTCGCACATCCTGGGCCAAACCGAACAGGTGCTGCACCATCTGTACGATGGACAGCCGAGCCTGAATGGTACGCGCCCTGCACTACTGCCTGAGCGAGAGACCTGCTGACCCCCGCAGTCGCCGCATACGCGAAGCATTCCATGCCTGTTCTACGCGCCGATGCCCACTTGACCGTAATCGATGCGGCCAACAAGGGCTACATGAAGTGGAGGGCCAACCCAATTCAACGCGGCAATCCCGATTATGTGAGTGACATGGTAGTGGAAGAATTATGCTTGGTGCTGATGTGGTCTAGGATCAACAGCGATCGAGCCTCGAGGACGGCCTCGAATCTTGGTGTCACAGGCTTCTGGATATGAACTTCGAGGACCCAATGATTCGCAAGAGAGTACTGCAAATCCTAGTCCTCATGTCAACATCAGCGCTCGATAAGAGACCTCAGTTCATGCTGAAGGTCTTAGAGCACATCCTAATGACGTGGCCGGCGCCCCAGCCGGAACACCGTGCCTTTAATGAGGCCATCAAGGACTTCCAGTCTGAAAGCATGTTCGAACTGCAGAGGCTAGCATCCAAGGTCCCCGATCATCTGCTTGCTGTTTATGATCAAGTCGAGACGCGGGTCCGTGACATGGTCACATCGGGGACGCTCGACGAGAAGCGACAGATTGCCTATCAAACATTTCTATTCATCATCGTTCACCGGGCGAGCAACATTGACCCCCAGGTCCAGATGCAGCGATTGGAAGGTTTTATCGAGCCAATCAAGGCTCAGTGGCAGAACCCCGAGCTCAAGCAAGCCCTTTCGTCATACTCTGGCTTCTGTGAGCTGATGGCGCTAGATAAAGCGAAGGCCTATCTCAGGAATCATGGAGCTCATACTGTTAGCGACTGGGGCGCGTGCGAGCTGGATGCTGAGGGCCTTGCTCTGCAGGCGGAGCTCGAAGACAGGCAAAAGGTATGTCCATGGGATGCCCTGTCTGCTGTCCGATCGGTGCTAACATGCTGCAGATGCTGCCCCTCCGACCGACCAAATCTTTCCTGTCTTACTCGGTCGAAAAGCTGGAAAAGTCTTCCCAGCCCTTCCAGGCATCATACAGGCTCTGGAATAACGAAGCCTTCCAGGCCATCTTGCCTGATCTTCTGCAATTCCTCAGGTACGTATATCTTGAGCCAGTCCACAGCGTCGACACACAACTGACCTTGCAGCCATGCCCATGCATCGCACAACCCCGACAACTGGCCCGAATTTCCCAATGAGATGGGCACTGTCGTCAAGAGGGTGCTCAGCGATCGCTTTTGGCAGGCAGGCATCTCGGAAGGCAGCAAAGACGAGTTCTACGCTCGCGTAACGGATAGGAAAGGGACGTTGGAAGGACTTGCATCGACCATCAGAGGCTCGGTGCGGTTCGTGCGAGAGACATGCTATGCGATTATTTACTGCATGAGCCGGCTCGAGACGTACTTTTACGGGTTTGGCGAACTGCCAAGCCCCCTCGCCGAAGCGTTGTTCCAGAACGCAGTCCACCTGTCTGCCCATCAACAGATCAATCTGCTCAACCTGACGAGATACCTGGTGGACGATTGTCCACTGGAACAGCGCGAGCACTTCCTGCCGCCGCTCCTGGCGAATTGCTTCCGACAGATGGACGCGAAGATCAGTTCCGAATGGAAGAGGCTCGAGGACCAGCAGAAGATTGACGTCGGAAGCGACGACCTGACCGAGGAGATGAAGTCGGAGAGCATCCTGCGGCAGGTCACTCACACGGCAGTCATCATGGTCGCCGATTTCCTTGACCCAACGAAGCGAAGTAAGTATTCCCGTGTGTACACTGGCCTTGGGTCTTTCGTGCTGACACTCGTGCAGACCCCGCGCCGCTGCGGCCACAGGATCCTCCCAAACGATACCCGACGCTGAGAAAGTTCTGTCTCATGCACTCCAGCATCGTCGAGCCTCTTCTTCTGTTCAGCACGCACGCTATCCGAATGAGAGATGGGAGGTGCTGCAACATTATTCTGCGTGTCTTCCGATCGATCGTGCCCGACTTCCAGTCGTCCGATGTCACAGCTGCAGGCGGCGATGGCCACACACCACAGGACGGCGGCGCGGATCCCTGGCTCGACACGACGGCCATTGACCATGAGAGGGCCACCCAGATTCGCGAATACATCTCAACACAGGTGCTCGAGGCCTGCGTGACATCCTTCCACGAGCCGTACTTTGTTGACCTGCAGAAGGATCTCGCGTCGCTCATCGCGGCGATCGTGGTCCACTACATGACGCTGACGGATTCGCCGAAGAATTTCCTCCTCAGCATCCCAGGCGTCAAGTTCAAAGACTTTGAGAAGCTCGGGGAGTTTGCGCAGAAGCCCAGCTCCGGGTCGCGCCAACAGCGGGCGCTCGTGCTGCATCTTTTGAAGGACGTCAAGGGCGTGAGCATGGCCGAGATGCACAAACTACCCAAGAGCGGGCTGCCGGCTGTGCAGAAGAAGCCGGCACGCAGCAAGATGGCGCAGGAGTTTATGACGCCTGCGGACGAGGCGGGGTCCAAGGGCCAGCCATCGACGGGCGTCGCGGACGATAGCCTCATTGGGCTTGCCAACTTGTTCGACGCGTAAGGGCTCACTCATGAGAAGGGGGGGTTGCACACTCGCGCGCGGGGGAGGGCAGCAGGAGGCAACAGGATCAGCACGGGACAGGAAAGGGCAAGGGCAGTGGCGGCGGCGGCATGGAGTTTACGGCGTTGGACAAGATCAAGAATGGGCGGGGGAAGGATATCACAAGAATAGCCAGGGCAGGAAAGGCAGAAAAGCGAAAGGGTCGACCGGCCATCAAGCAACACCCAGCTCTGTGCCGCGGCATTGATTTGTCCTGGCGCAGGGGTGGGGTGGGGTGGGAGAAAGGATGGATGGATGGATGGACGGCAACGTTCAGTAGAGAAACGCAACGATAAAATCATAATCATTCTGGCCCATGCCTCGGCTTCTACTTGTGAACCATGTCCAGTGTTCGGCCCTCCCACAGGACGCTCCCCGTATTGTATCGCGGTTCATCCCTTTACGAGAACGACCTCAGGTACAACGGTACGTCCCGGACACTCCAGATATAATAGCAGAATTCCGTTTCCGGACCAGGTATATGCTATCGCTTGATCGCACTATATTAGATGAAAATCATTTAAGTAGGCGGTCGAGCCGGCGCCATGGCTCCAAAGTGCCTGAGGCCGTACTCTTGGTGGTCCTCAAGGGATGGAGGTTGATGTTCCCTCGACATCCGCCAGCAACTGGCATCGGGTGTACAGTACATGCGCCTCCTGCTTCCCGCCTCCAGGACAGCAGGTGGCGTCCCCTCATCCGCAAGCATTTCCGCATCGAGGATGGCCCCATCCAGGGATCTGGGAAGGGCAAAGTGCGGCTCGGCACCTGCAGGCTCGCAGCCCAGTCAGCCAGTCTGAAAATGCGAGGTGATGGGATGGTGGATTTGGAGGGGATCACCACCACCACCACCACCTCGGCGGCCGGCCGATGGAGGGCAGATAGTCTGGAGGGGCGAGACCGAGGTCCGGGTGATCTGCGGCTTGGGGCGGGGTATTGCCTGCTCATGGCTTTGCCTCTTAATACACTATTCATTTGTTTGTGTTTGGCTACGAAATCACGGGAACCGGGGGACGGGGGGCTATCGATGGCAGATGGAGAGATGGTCGTTTCCAGCGGGGGGAGAGACATGGGGAGGAAATGGGGGGCCGGGTAGGGAGGGCAGATCTCAAGAGGGGCCGAAAGCTGGCTGGCCGGCTTGCTTGCTCGTCTGATGGCTGGTTGGTGGCGAGTGGCGGGGTGGGAAAAGCGTGTGTTCCTGAATCGCCGCGTCAGGGCGCAGGCTGACATATAGTGTACCGTAGATGAACCATGGACAGTGCATTCCGATGCGACACGACCGAGGGCCGCTTAGTGGTGTGCTGCTCGTGCGACGTGGGAGACGTGTTGGCGACCGAGAAAACGAAAAAGCAAAATTATTTCACCCTCGCCCGTCGACCTCGTGTTCGTGGCTGTCCGATCGATGGCGGCCACGAGGGAGGGAGCATTTGTCACGAACGGGAGGAGGCGCATTGAGGGCGGGAACTTGAAGGGCGATCGATCCTATAGGCCGTGGGTATAGGCCGCGGGGGTTATGGAAGTGCCAAAAAGAAAGGGCAAGACACTGGGGTAACACAGCCGTGTCTCTCTTTTCGTCGCTGCTCTCGGTGTCTCGGTTTTGGGTAGTGGATGTGAAACATGGGCTTCGTGAAGAATCGCTGTCCGAATGATGGGATGGTTTCAGACAGGCGTCTTCGTTGATGCTGCCGCTGCTGCTCTACTGCTGCACTGCTGATGCCGCTGCTGCTGCTTCTGTTCGTAAACCAAGCTGGTCTTCGGCACTGCGGAACAGAGGGCCTCCACCAGGCGTGCACAAGGCGGAGGCCCTCGGGTGACACGACGCTAAAGGGGAAGGCGAGGGACGGCGAGACAACGGCGGCGTGTGTCACGGAGAAGAGTCAGAGGGTAGTGTCTGTCTGTCACCAGAAGCCAGGGTCATGGCGATCTATCCTATCTGGCCTGTCATAGTCATGATAAGGCTGTCAGAAGCATAATAGGGGTGTGCAAAGGGCAGATTTGACAGAAGTATGATGCGTCGGGATCATCGGGGCAGGCAACGAATATGGGCAGTCCAGGCAAGTGAAGCATCAAGGCGGCGGACATGATGAAAACTTCCGTACCTACCTTACCTACCTACATGTACATGTAGTACCCATGAACGCTAGCCAGGTTAAGAGAGCGACCCTTGGCCCTGTCAAAGCGCGCTGCAGCATTCGTCGAGGCGGGCCTAACGTCAATCTTCGCCTTGACGTACCCATGGATCCATCGCCGCCGCCTTCTTCCATCCATCATCTCTGCCTTGTCTCAGGTCAGTCCAGAGCTATGTCCTTATTTCGGGAAGGCTTCAACATCCTCTAGGCCGCAATTCGTTAGGTTTTCTGCACCGGCAGTCCCTCCTGATGGGACGCGCGAACTCAACTTCTGTTCCCTGGCCGCACTTCCTCCGGCGCACTTCCTCTGGTGACAAACTTGCTGTGACCTGCCAACCCAGCGAATCCTGCTGCACGGATTCACCTCTTCCATCACCTTTCTTCTCCTCCTCCTTGGCGTCACAAAAGCCTTGGCCAGCAACCTCCACGCCAGGCCGTCCGATCTGCTCCAATCCGAACCACGAGATCCTGCGACAGCGTATACCTCAAACAGACCGCAGCTCGATCTCAGCATCCTGTCCCACACTCGCTGCCAACCATCTACGCTGCCACACCCTTCCGCGACCTCCTGTCCTACGAAACATCCCATTGTCCCTCCGTCCTGATCTAGAGTCACACGATACGACTGTACTGGTTGCATCGTACTGTATCCGAACATCGACTGCCGAAACCACCTGCTGTTGAGCCAAGATCCGCCCAAAGTCACGGTAGCATCAGGTCGGGTCACACAGCATCCACAGAAGAGGTTAAGGTAGTATCGTAAACAACCTTCAATCGGGCACTTGACCCCAAGTCGACCAAGCCCGATCAGATCTCCCACAACCCCGGCCGAGGCAACGCTTGGCATCTCGACACCTCCACCCCTGTTTCGTCCCGTCCTGACCTGACCCTGGCCTGGCGTGAGCCTGGGCCTGCCCTTTCTCGTTTCAACCCCCTCGCACCCACGCCTCCGTCCTCATCTTTCATCCTCATCCGTATTCTCATCCGCCATTGTCTTTCCACCATCAACTCAAGGCACCTCCGTCACGCTATCAACCTGACACCATATCCAAACCATCGCGAGCTATTCTCATTGACATATTTGCTGCCCCGCTGTACGACAAACCACTAGTTCACTAAGAAGGCCGTGAACCACTTGCCATCTTCGACTCTTTTACGACAGCCGTCACCAGCCGCGCTCGTTACCTACGACTCCTTTAACAGTCGCCATGGTGTACTGTGGCAAGCCTTCGAGGGGCTGCCAGATGTGCAGGACGAGGAGAATCAAGGTAAAGCGTCACGAACCGCGAA